GGAACCATGGTCCAGAACCACGGGCCAGAACCAGGGGCCAGAACCAGGGGCTGGAACCATGGTCCAGAACCACGGGCCAGAACCAGGGGCCAGAACCATGGTCCAGAACCAGGGGCTAGAACCATGGTCCAGAACCAGGAGCTAGAACCATGGTCCAGAACCACGGGCCAGAACCAGGGGCTAGAACCACGGACCAGAACCAGAACCACGGTCCAGAACCAGAACCAGGGACCAGAACAAGCAGCCAGAACCACAGGTCAGAACCATGGACCAGAACCAGGGGCCATGAACCATGGTCCAGAACCAGGGGCCATGAACCACAGGTCAGAACCAGGGGCCACGAAACATGGACCAGAAGCAGAGACCAGAACCATGGTCCAGGACCAGGGACCCCCATCCATCCATCCATCCATCCTCCCCTCAGGTTAAACCTGCCTCTTCTATCTGAATCAGGTGTCCTGAAGCAGAGAAACGTCTAAAACATGGAGGACAGATGTTCAGAGCTGTGATAGATCTCTGATTATAGATCCAGAGTCATCAGTGGACTCACCTGTCCTGTGGGGGGCGCTGTTGCAGCCATGTGCTGCAGTGTGGAGGTGATAGGAGAACCTCATGGTGCTGAACTGGCTGGAGAAGGAGGGAGGCGGGCCCCCGACGGCCAGCAGGGTGCTGCGAGGTCGGTTCAGCTGCATCCCAGCACCTGTAGAAGCACCTGAGGCCGGGTCAAAGGTCACTGCAGCCTCAGATCATCCTCCAGCTCCCACCCTCAGTCTTCAGTCGCTTTGTGTCTCAGAGCAGCCCAGATTAAAATCAGAGTCCTGGTTCTGTACGCCGGGTCCCATTCAGACCTAAAGTCCAGCTTCAGGTGGTCCCGGCGTCGGGTTCTGTCCCGGTTCTGGTTCTCTCCTTCATCCTCCCTCTCTGTCCCCCATCCTTCAGTGTCTGTTACTCTTCCTGGAGGTTCGTGGATCTGACTTTCATGGACTCCATCTTTGTTTCCACGGAGACGTTTCAGATCAGCTGACTGAGGGGGCCAGTCCCCCCCGGGTGCTCTGGGATCAGATCTGAGGAGTCCTGAAGGGGAGAAGCTGTCTGCTGGTAGTTTGTTTCATGAATGTGCCGCCTCAGCTCTCCTCACCCAGGAGGTCCGTCTGTTCTCCGGTTCTGATCCGGTTCTGATCTGTCTGTTCTCCGGTTCTGATCC